GTGTGCCTTGGCAGTCTGAGTTTAGCAATACACAGACAGAACAAAAGCTCAGTTTCCATCCATTGAAAGTATGTTCTTATGTTAGAAAGTGATTTTTCATTGGTTAAATCAGAAAATCTGTATAATTATTTGTGTGAAACTATTACTTCTAAATAATACACCATCAAACTAATTCAGCAAATAGTCGGCTCCTTTCTTCCTGCATTCCTGAGTTTGAATAATTTAAGGAAAGATCTAATTTTGTCTAAAAAAATAAATCAATCAAAATAAATCTCTGTTCAAAACGTATCCATAAAAAACACCTATAATTATTTTTGTGGGAAACCAGATAGGGAGGAAAAGTGCAGCCTGGTACTTAGTGTGGATCAGACATGGATTGTAGGAATGTTTTCTAATATTTATTATGTTTCTGGTGGAGCACACACATTCTCTACCCAGCATGCCTCTTAGCCTTCTGGACAGCAAAGCCGAAGCAAAACATGTGGGTGAGACAAACGTGAATATATGAAGATCAGTGTAGAGAGATGTAAAAGCATCTCTTATACAAGATGTTGCTCTGTTCCCCACCACTAGATTAGATTAGGTCACTGTGTGGCATTTAGGATCTGGAAAACAGCAAAAAAAGCGGTGCCAACTTGGCGAGAAAGAGCATAATCTTCCTGAAGGCTTGCTGAAGCATGCAGGTCCAGACAGTCAAACAAACAGCAGCGTACCAGAGGCTTGGCCATGCGTGACATGCCACACTCCCCAGGCTCCACTGAAACTTTCAGAAGCAAAGGGTAAAGGCTGAAGAGCCAATGACATGATGTTTGCCCTGGACATACGAAAGATCATCAATGTGTTGAAACCAAGGTAAAATGTCACTCAACGAGTCCTGCTATGCATCATAGGGTACCCAAGGACCATTACCTCACTGTACATTCAAAACATCTAACACACAGATACGTGCTTATCAGCTTCACTGTAAATCAATGCTCTCAGTCTCATTTTGTGATTATAAGCTGTTATTCTTTTAAAGAGATAGGACAACAAATTCAACCTTGTATTTTTTCCTTGCCACTCTATCTATCTCTCTCTCTGTTCTTACTGTAGCATGTTATGACATGTCTGATGGTTTTGTGTCCACAAGCTTATTCTCACCTTGCAACTCAAGCCAAGATAGGACAAAAATGTCAATTATAACGTCTGAGCAGCTATAAACGGCAACACAGTCGGCAGAGAGCTTGCACGCAGACAATTACTGGAATGGTCACGCTTACACAGCCCAAAAAACATGCCATTATGAGAGGTACAGTATGCTTGAAGGTGCTGTGAGGTGGCTGGACATGCATCCCTCTTGCCTTACACATAGTCATAAGTGTCTATTGAGCTATAAGCTCTAAAAGTGTATATAAATGGCCTCAAAGACATTCAAAGACTGACATTAGGTTAGTCTGAGTCAGAATAAATATTATATGCATGGCTCAGGGGCGTATTGGTGGCCTACAGGTCCACAAGGTGTTAGGTAATTGCTAGGTCTCTTATTCTGATCAAGCCATGGACCTTTGACATCCTCTCAGGCTTCATTTATTCTCGTCCTATACTGACTAATAAAAAACTAGCCCAGGTACTTGATTTTAGTTCAGATATTCTGCAGCCTATTTCTGCAGGTTTAGGTGGTTGAATTGTCTATTGCAGGTGTCACCCTGGCCAATTAAAAAGCCAATTAAAAAGAAAAAGCAAGGATTTGTTATAACTTCGCAATCCAAACATTGTTATTACAACTGACTATGGCTTCATAAAGTAATATTGGAGAAATTAGGAATTGGTGCCAGTACATGTCATTTTGGTGTTTTTGTTCTATTAAAAACGACAACCTGTAGATCTGAATAAATCTAACTCTCTGCAGGAGACAATAAAGAATGAGCTCAGCTTCTGGTCACTACATTTCCTTAACAGGATACAATCGGCCCACAGTGAAGGGATAGAAGAATAGTGTTAGGATCACAGGCTGCTCCGCTGTGGCCGCCGCTGCTGCAGCTGTGTCCGCAGGCGTCATCAGCCTGAAACCCTATCCACCCTGCTCGCCCTGCCCACATCCCGTGGGTAAAAGCTAGATCTGTCTTCCTCTCCACTTTGAACCGGACGAAAATAAAGTAAAGTAAAAGCATTCCCCTATGAGAGAAATGTTCTCCCAACTTAAAGTACAATGATAGGCTGCATGCGACACTAAAACATAAAAACACTGAGGGTAAAACAGTTTTGGACGAGCTCTCCGTGATCCGTTAAACACCAAACCGCTATACTTTATCAACAGATTATGTGACACAAAAGCAAATTGATAAAAACTGAACTCCCTAGCTCACACTTGTAGATTACTTTTCACGAGTAGCCTACCGTTACAACAACTGACTGAATCTGACGGGTGCGCTCCGCGTTTCCAAACCACTGGGCGGTTGCATGGCAATGTGCAGCGATGGGAAAGTAACAAAGCCATAAATATTATCGGACACTCACTTGTCCAGGACAAAATAGAGGTCGAAGGCGCCCTGACAGGACCTCTCATCCTCCTCCTCCTCCTGTTGATCTCCCTGCAGCTCTCCTTTCACCGAGACACCGAGGAAGAAAATTCCCAGCAAAGCCCAGGCGAGGAACATGCGAGTCTGTGTCCTCGCCATCTTTCCCGGTTACTGTTGACTGGTCCGACACTGTGACAACTAAAGAGCTTCACATTTCTTATCATCTGTTTCTGAATCGACTGTGTGTCTGTAACCCAGTGTTTTTCTCGGTGTTCCGTCCTGTTGTTGGGTTGGCATGCATTCAGCCCACAGGAGTGCTGTTCAGTTTAAGCCGGCCTCTCCAAGTCCTGTCTTTCAGCTCAGAAAAAAAAAAATCACTAAAGCAGGGCAGGATGGAGGAGAGGAGCGACACCCGAGGAGAAATACAAAACTCCACTTTAACAGTGATTTGTTTTAGGCAGATCTCACTGGGTGGGATTAGCCAAAAATACATTTGAGAATGAGACAAAAAAACCTAAAACAACCATTCCTAAAAAAACTGCCCTGTTTTTTTGTTGTTGTTCATGAGCAATCAGAGGACCAAAACCATCAAATAACATTCAATACATTTGTGTTCACGTCCTTTAATGCAGAAATGACTGAATTTTGCTTTGGCTTATAATTCCAGTTTGTTTTAATTGTAAAAATAAATGCTGGTTAAAATGTGTAATATTTAATACCTTTAGTTTTGAATAATCCATAATTATTTTTGTTCTTTAAGCATGAAATGCATCTCTTGTCTCTCTCTGTTATGTTTAAGGAATTTTGCCCTCAAATGAAAAACAGAGGAACTGAAAAGACAATTAAATTATGGGGCCATAATGCAAATGGGAGCATGACAGGATGTGCTGTGAAAGGTTAACAGTGTTTTCCAAAGACCATCATCAAATTTCACAACAAAATGTAATGTGAGGAAATGTTTTCAGGCATTAATATGATATATTTTGTACAATAGCCTCTAAAGTGTAAATATAGGCTATACTGTAACCGGACCCGAGGAGTCCACACGAAAGCTTTTATGTGTTGCCACTTTCTCATTACAGAAAGTTGGCTCGATTACCACCAGGACATTTATCCAAACCAAAGCTTTGATGCAGAATAATCCATTAAATGCTCATTAGACAGAAACATTTAGTTAATGAATTATGCATTTGCCCAGTGGCAAACCCAGACCACCCTGCATCATGTCATGTAGTTGCCAGTTTTACAATTTCCAATTGCCCACATTAGCCAGGACAACTTCTACCGTGTCTAACTCGTCTGTAGCTTGACATAATTTGTTTCCAGTGAAGTGAAAAACAAACCTCTCGGAATCCCACATAGCGTGATAGACTATAGTCTGAATATCTGTTGTGCAAAGTACAATTAGAGGAGTGACTGACATTTAAACCAAAAGCACAATAGGATGTCAGAATAGCTTGAGGCATATATTTTAATGATTTCCATCTGACTAACTGCAGGCTGGCAAAGTCTTGATGTGGTCCTTTAAGCTCAGGGTTTAGGACATTTGGGGCGTAGACATTTGTATTTTTTTACGCATTAAAAACCTAGGGAACATTATATTTTCAACGTTTTACACTGAAGGTAAACATGTCACTGCCTAATTGGTGTGCACACACAGTATATCCAAATCAGCCAGCTCCATGCTGTATCTGTTAAAAAACTAATTGATGAAATCATTGAATTTCCAGAGCCAATACATCTCTTCTTCACTGAAAGGACCGTACATCAGACAAGGCCAGGGAAAATTAGCCAAGGTCTAAATTCAAGGCGTGTGCGCGCGTGTGTGTGCGTGAGCGCGCACGTGTTTACATCAATGCGCCACGCTTCAGTGCGCTTTCTGGAGGGAATAAGTGGGAGTGGGAGAGGAGAGGGACGACAGTACGGAGGAAGATTCAGTCGGATAAGTAACTCGCCACCAAGAAAAGAGAGGACATCGTTACCAAGGTCCACTGCACCTGCTGCCTCTTGCTGACACACGGCACCAACATCATCCTCAATGTCCAGCGGGTAAGTCCGCATTCAACACAATGAATCCACTTCTGTTCTCATCTCAGGGATATGCGATCTTTCTCTCAAGTGTCATTCATTTATAACCGCACTGGCATTTTCAGATTGGCACCAGTTCATTCTGTCATGACGATGCACCGTCAACGATTTGAACCTTTCAAGAATATTGACCAGAGAGGGAATAACTCAATAGTCACATAATCTCTGTGCATTAATGTTGTCGATACATCAGGAAAACGAACATTGAACTTATCTTGCGCACAGAGGAGGCAGTTGGGCACCACGGCAGATGGGTAGACAAAAGGAGAAACCGAGTGAAAACTGAGACAAAGGACGTTAGAACTCATTTTGCATCAACACTGGCTGCGCCTGCTTCACAGTTGGGACCCTTCATTTGAGCAGAAAAAAAATTAATACAATATCTCAATCTTTTTTTTCTCCATACATGCAAGACCATCCAGCTTGGTTAGAGCATCTGAATCCAACTCGTCTTGGCATGTCAGCCCACTGCCACCTATATTTTAATGTATATCCCAATTGTTTTCTCAATATTTTGTTAAACTTAAACACACAATTAAACATGTGTATTGCTATTAAAGTTATAGTCGAATTGTATTAAAGTCTTAGTGGTTAACCTTGGTTTTAAAATAATAACTCTTAAACATTTTAAGGATATAATATGTAACTGCTCTTAAACGTATTATATTGTATTTGTGATTAATATATTTTGTATTTCATTACAGTTTGATGATGGATCACTCTTTCCTACCTCGCTCCATCTGGACCGGTGAGAGTAAATTCCTGCAGCATCCAGCGGATCTCTACACCACTGTGGTCGTTACGCGCAGCATCCCTGCAGGCACGTGCTTTGGTCCATGTGTGCTCCAAAACACTTTCTACGACACGATCGCCTTCATAGCGCAGAAATCCTGCGACAAGAGAGCTAAATCATATATGTTCAGGGTGAGTTGTGATCAGACTTGTATTGTCTCTTTGAAAAATGTGTGCTTGATTTATGGTGAATTGTGAAATTACACTTGCACCGGATTTATTTGTTCCTTATTTTAATTTGGATTGCATTTATTTCATGCAGCCTACCTTATATTTTATGAGACTATATTTCAACGCATTCCATCTGCAATTTGTGTTTGCCATGAAGCGTTTGTCTTTGGGTATTATTTGCAAAGGGACCAAAAACATGTCAATTGCCAAAAACTGGGAGATGGACAATATACTTCAAGTTATATTAAGGAATGTTATGTTTGTAATAAAGATATACAATTAAATGTGAGTAAAATATCGATGTTTCTGTCAACAGTTGGACCCTGAGGCCATGCGTAATTCCGTGCTGGTGCTGTCCTGGCTGCGGCTCGTGCAGGCTGCGCGCAATGGCCAGGAGCAGAACACCGAGGCCTTTCTGAAGGCTGGTCAGCTGTATGTGCGGACCATCCGGGACATCCGGCCGGAAGAAGAGCTGCTTGTGTGGTACGACCAGGAGCTGTCTCACCTGCTGGGCTTCACTGACATGTCCCGAGGATCGAGTGAAGGTGAGGCAAAGCTTTGTGAGGCGAATAAGAGGTCAAGATACTCGGATTGACCTGAGATTTAATTATAAAGCCACTCTACGCATCGTGTTCATTCTCTAATTACCATGTTGGATTAATGTAAGGATGTCATTGTTGCTAACTAAATGGTAAATAATATGAATATATCGGTATATTGAACACATTGTGTGTTTTTGTCTTTCTTTCAGAGTTCAAATGTGCAAGATGTAACCAGGTCTTCAAGAACGAGTTTCCGTTCCTGGCTCATTGCCGATTCCTTTGCACTCAAGTCAAGACAGACACATGGAGCCGCGAGATTTACGAGCAAAAGCATGTGGAAATTAGGAAACAACGCCGAGTAACAGATTTCCACAACATCGCCAGAGATTTGGAACACAAAAAATCCTCTAGCAAAAACGAGGATGCAGAGATTTTTCCCAAGAGAAGGAAATACGAGGAAACACTTTATCCCAAAGGGAGGAAAACGGTTCTTTTGGAAAAGACAAATATTTCAAACGATGACAATATAACACCACTGATTAAGGGATACGACCAGGCAGCAGGAGACGAATCTTCCTCTGCTGGGAAGCTCAAGGCTGATAAGATTAAACCAGATCATTTGGGATGTAAGAATGGTGCCTTTACGCATGTCAGAGATATGGACGCACGGTCTGAGGCAGGGGAGAGCTCTGGTTTGAACTCAAGCAGCAGTAGTGCATTTTCTCTGGTCCTGTCCAACAATCAAGGACATCAGAGAAGCGCTTTCTGTAAACCGAGTAAAATAAATTCCCTTATTGACCCCCAGGTGCATCTCAGCAGCGCCTCAACAGCCCCCTCTAGCCGCGTAGAGGAGATGACAGATGCCTTCAACTCCAGAAATGTTTTGGGATACAACAATCTGATGGCAGCTAACATCCTGAGCACTGACTTACAGACTGTTCATTCCCCTGTGGCTGTAAACAACGCGTTCCATTACGCACCGGAGCACTGGTCTAGGAACATTGGCGTGCAGCTGCAGACGGCATCTTCTCTCACGGTCCTTCCACCGACTTTCACCTCATTCGGCGTGTCGGTGCAGAACTGGTGCGCAAAATGTAACCTCTCCTTCCGCATGACCTCTGACCTCGTGTTCCATATGCGCTCTCACCACAAGAAGGAGTTCGCAGCGGAGTCCCACGTGAGGAGGAGCAGGGAGGAGAAACTCACCTGCCCAATCTGCCATGAGTACTTCCGGGAACGGCACCACCTGTCCAGACACATGACTTCTCATAACTGAGGCAAGAAGGGACACTGACACTTTAATTTATTCTAGTAGCAATGCGTATTTAACAGGTTTAGACTCCAGATTCACGGTGAGACTTTGGTGTATAAGAGTGAATGTAGGTAGCTGTAAAAATATAGCAAAACCAACACGTGGCCACCACAGTCTGTCCACTAGATGACGATAGAGGTACGTGTACGCTGATCTCACTGCAGTTTCTTGTCTGTCCTTTAGCTCTGCTTTTTGTTAGGTTGATGATTATTTTGTGCCTTATGGAACTCTGGAGGGAAGAAAGACTGAAAGATCTCGAGGACAGCTCATGATTGTCACAAATCCTCTTATTTATCAGTTTTTCTCTGCTCTGATTTGTACAAGAGATGTGGATTGAGTGTGTTTGCACATTTGTTTTGAAATCTAAAATGATGAAAATGAAAAAAAACGTGTCGAGTACTTTGTTCCACCAACATGTTGGGGGTCACTTTGTGTCTGCTCCAACAGCTGGCGACAGGAGACC